CTAACTTTCAACCTGTGTACAGGATGATATCACTAATCTGCAACTTCGATACCGGAAATACAGAACTCGTTTCAACGCTAACGTTGCTACCATGAACACAAAGCTGGCACAACTCAACTCTCTTTCCTCCAGTGTTTCTCACACAAAGGATTGCCTTGACGGCTTGGATGCTAACTTCACCACAGCAAAGGTCGACATCGACTGTATGAAGGGTGATATTGATGAAATTCGCATCGATGTCGACGGAATGAGAGGTGATATTGACCAAGTGCAGTACCAAACTGACGAAAGTCGAATGGAAATCAATGGAATCCAAAATGACGTCCAGGACATAAGGGGTCAAGTTGATACTATCCTAAGCGATGTCGGTGGTGTGAGAGACGACTACGACATCGTTCATGAAGATGTGACATGGTTCCAAAGGGAAGTGAGTGAAATGCGAGCCAATATCGAAGGCATGAGAATGGATCTTGATATGCGGGGGGTTGAGCGGATAGAGCAGAGCATTGATAATGTTAGGGAGGAATTCCGCAACCTGCGGCAAGAGTGGAGCAACTGGAAGGAAGAAGCAAATGTAGATGCTCAGATTGCCCGGGCGAGAACGCAAAGTACTGTCGAGGTAGCTTGTGCCGGTGGTAAGGACGCGCAGCTGCGGGAAATGGCTGAAGGTACGTCCTTTTCTATCTTATTCAATTCCTCGTCGTTAACACATTATCGTAGAGCTCCTCGAACTTCAGAAGAAGAGTGACGCTGAATTAACTGCGCTTGAAGCCGCCCGCTCTCAAGCTGAACATGAGTTACGAATCATTGTTGCCTTGCGTCAAGAAGTGGAACACGCCGTATCCATTCGCGTGCGAGAGGAATCAACTAACCCTCAATCTGTAATGGTCCGATCATCGCTGAAGCGCAAATACGCCAATGATAGCGAGGATATTGGTGAGGTTCCAGAAGCTTCTAAGAAGATGGGTGCCCATATCGGAGCACATTCCGCTTATGCCAACGATACCAACCGCACTACCTCTTTGAATGCTGACGGCATCTTCATACCTTCCTCTAAACGAGCTCGAAAGCTTGCAAGGGCGCGCCGCGTTGGGATAGTTGTTGTGCAAACTGCGACTGTAGCGACCGTTGGTGCTGTAGCAGCCTGGGCTGCATTAGCGTTCACCTAACTGAATGGTTCTGAAAGCCTGTGTGCTCTTGAGAAAGTGAAACGGTGTACAGTACTCGAATCTAATCTCAAACCAATGTATGTATGTATGTATCATCCTGTATAGTAGCGTTACTTCAACCGATAAATTAGGTGCTTTCGGATTGGTCTGCAGAAGGTCAATGGGGCTTATAGCTTGCTGATTTCTTTGACTGTTGCAGCTCTAGTCGTTCCGCTGACATGAGCTTCATATCTCAATGCTGACACGCCTAGGGATCCAGGAGTCAGTATGTAACACGCTTAAACCATGATCGGGAGCTCACTCTTCGTGGTTATAAAGGCAGCTTGTACGTACCGATTCGCGGGCCAAAGCTCGCGTAGCCTATCTCGCAAAAAGAATCAGTGCTTCTAATAGATAACAGAGGTGGATCGACGGTATGCACCCGATAATCACATCGTTGTTATCAACAATACTCTTCGTACCAATCGCGCTGGGATCAACAGGAGATTTCATTAGACGATCATTGCCATTCTCTGATTATTGAAAACCCATCTCGACAGAATGTTGGCGCTTGTGGGATGTCCAGCGCGTACTGGGGTAGCAGGGTCAGATACCGTGCAGCTAATGCATATATCAGTGAGATCGTGAATACAATTACTCGAGTCGAGTTTTGCAGTCTCAATGATGAGCTATATGTGTTTCATACCTTTATAAGTGAAGTCGCAAGGCTTACTAAGTTCAGAGTGTTCTTCCAAGCCACTCGATTTGATGAGCGTAGCATACTGCGAACATGTGCCATAATAAAGAGTAGACTCAGCAGAGATTCTGCTCAATATGCAGGAACCAGGTCCAGTTAGTGAGGTTAAGTACATTGATGGACAGGCATTGCTGAGGTTATATAATGAAAGTTAAAGGTTCGACCTGCGAACGTAGTGTAGAGTATACGGCGAAGATTCACGAGCGACCAGCGCGACAAAGACGTAGTCTTCCTGTATCTTTTATACCTTTCAAACGATCCTCACGTAGTATTCGCAACCTCGGTCTCAGCTTTCCAGTCAACACCGAGTCTAGAAGTCAACATGACTTGGGGATTTGTTCAGATTTTCTGAAGGAGTTCTACTCACACTACAACAGCCCTGACTTGCTAAACATATCGAGTTCGACATGGAAATACTTCGACCACCATGTATACAACCTTATTTCTATTCTCTTGTCTCTTCCTCATTCCTCACCAAATGTTCAACATCATCAACATGGGCTGCATCCCACGCCCCCAAAGCATCGATCGGCACCTTGATAATCTTCGACGTCTGTGCTCCATCCGATAACTTTTCGGTAATCTGGCGAATTCGATATCCCCCTCGGCGGGGAAAGTACACGTACCAGAAGTAGTAGATGATACAAGAAATAGCGATACTATCAATACAAGATATCAGCAACTCGATCTTGAAGGCGGAGAACCAAAGATACGTACACGCCCAAGCCGGCTATACAGTACGTGGCATAGAAGAAAGATACGTCGCCTGCGTAGATTCCTCCTTCTGGGGGTATCCAAGGGATGATCATGATCATCAGGTTGACTACGAGCGCGAAACCCGCAACGGAAGTCCAGGCTCGGAATGAGATAGACGGGGCACCGACAGATTGACGTCGACGTCGGACGAGAAAGAGGCCAATAACGAGGAGAAACGCATAGATGCTTTCGGGATAATATTGCAGGTCTACGACTAAAAGAGGCGTAGGTCAATCAACAATCTTTACAAGGGGTATACCGAATGAAAGGACATACTAAAATTAAACGCATCACCCGGTGGTGGAATCACAATTAGCACACTGGTCACAGTCCAGCGTAAAAGATACGCTGCCAACGGGGTGTTGAATGGTTTTGTCGATGCCCAGATCTGAGGGTACGGTAGAAGGCCTTGTCGACCACTTTCTCGAATTATCCGTGAAGCTGATATTGTAGCAGCAATAACGCTTCCCAAACTGCTTAATGCGACAAGGACTTGCAGAACAGTCAATGCTACATTGGTCGAGTTTGGAGCGCTTGGGAAGATGGTCTCGAAGAAGAGATTGGCGATCATTTCGTTGGAGGATTTGATTTTTTCAAGTGGGACTATGTGCATTATGTTGATTGGGTTATATGATAGGTAGAAAGTGGGGTGAGACGTACCTGTAGCAAAATACGCGATGTTAACCAACATATATAACGCGAAAACGACCCCAAGTGACAAGGGTGCAAATTTTTTCAATGTTGGGATTGGATCCTAAGACGATTCCAGCATTATACCCCAGAAGCAAGGTTTTACTCACCTTGACTTCATTAACCATACTAAAGACACTCTACAGACGTATCGTGTTGTTAAGCGGGCAGCTGTATCATGGCTGAGCGTAAACATCTTACCTCCCAACCGACATACGAAAACCTGATCTTCAACAATGCGTTCACCAGTCCGTTTACGTTATTTGAAGTTCCATGAAATGGTTGGGAAAAGTTTGCACCAGGATTCGGAACATGCGGGATACCCCCACAAAGGACGACTAAGCCGGTGATAGCGATCCTGTTGGGAAAGACAAATAGGAAAGGCTAGAAAGGGTAGAAAAAATGACAATTTACAATACCAATGCGAGAACCTTAACCATTCCAATGGCGTTCGAGAAATGAAGGGACCACCTCGTGCTGAAGATGCAAACTAAGTACAACCATTAAGTTGACAGGGGTTTAGTCCGAAATGGGTTGAAGAGACTCACTCATAGTCATGGCTGTAGACAGTCCTACCGCTACCCCACGGACGTTCCATTTTGTTATTTCATATTGAAGCGCCAGCAGGATGTATTCTGCGAATACTAAATAGAGGTAGTATTGAAACAAACTATAATTGGGCATTAAGCTGGACGTGCACACCAATACACGCCGCACTACTGGTTGACAAGGTGCAGAACAAGCAAGCGTATAGGAACGGAGCCATCAACCGTGGCCTGGGGAAAGCCTGTACAGCGACCACAATGCTATTAGCGAATGTACAAAGGACACAAAATCGTACCTACTTTTTCTAGATACGTGACGATACCTCCAGAGCGCTGAGGGTAGTAGCAGAGGTATTCAAGGTACACGCAGAGAGATGCTGGAAAGATATATTAATATGCAAGCCAAGCCAAGTAAGCGATGAATGTCGGTGGATTGATATGTAGTTACCGGCAGAGAACAGGAACCCTATGACCCAGTAAATCATACTGAGACCTACAGAGCCTACACCTCTCAAGATCGTAGCAGCTACGAAATGAACAAGTCGTCTACGAATTAGATAGAAACACAAGCTTACTTACGAGTAACGAATACCCCTACTCCGATTATCCTGCTCACATTCTGTACACATATACACTTAAAAAACCGAGCAGATGAGAAACGATAAGACGATGTACCAGGAAAATCACACTAATCCAATCCACATGATATCCAAGTGGACTGATAGACTCTATTGGGGCCCCAAATGCGTCTTCGTCGACAGCTATCCTACCTGGCTGCTCCTCAATAATCGGGTCCAATTGAGGATGACTGAGCGTTTCATCGGAGCCATTAGACTTCTTCAAAATGGATGGGAAGGCCATTGGTCGAACTGTCAAGGTCGGAAGTCACCAAGCAGAGGAAGTAAAGCAGTCTGTTTTATCATGATTCACTAGAAAAATATTCTGTGGAAAGGCTCCCCCATTCTAAATAGTTAAATCGACGGCTCTCCGGATAGTTGAAAGAAGGTTGCTCGTTTCATATACGGGATACGGATTAACGAGAGCAATAACTCCCACGAGGTCAAAGCTTGATCAATCAATCCTGATATGAGCTGAATGAAGCACGGTTCGATGGCGTAGTTGGTTATCGCATCTGTCTAACATTGGTACACAGAAGGTCCCCGGTTCGAGCCCGGGCCGAATCAATTTTTTTTTTTGGTGTAGCTTTCATTTTACTGACGAGGGGTTTGTTACGAAAGCTTTTCCATTTTCGTAATGAATTGTAAACTCTAATTTGATTTCCTGTATTATCAATAAGGCCACTGAGACGCAAGGATAATCCTCTGATCTTTCGTTCATTGGTCTTCTAGGCTTCTAGCTCGTCGTCTTGGAATTTAGTGAGAATGCATTCTCTTGATGGAAAACGCAAGAGTCGTCTATCCTTGCCGTCCAATTTATCACTTTCTAGATGTTCTACTTCTGACAAAACTAGACAATCATCCCGTGAATTTTCCTCTATCTCTTCACCCCCTACAAAACCAAACCGCCTTTCTGGTCGTCTACAGAGGGCTTTTAGGCGCTCCCCGTCCTTTGATAAACGCCACAGCGCTAACCGGCGGTCGTCTGGACAACTGATGCAAACTTTGACCGGATTATCGGCCACTGACTTGAACCCACATATAACGCTTACACATGCGAAAAGAATCACATCGTTTGATTCTGCAGACCACCACTCACCGTCTCTTTTCGCGACTCGTTCCATGACTTTGACGAGTAATCCTACGACTACATCCACTCCCCATCCATCTCGTAGTCCATCAGACAAATCCAATACTTCGACATCTAATAGCTCTTATCGGATTCCACTGAAGATCAGAGATTATACGTACGCAGCATCGGATCCGAGGCATCAGGGATTGGGAGAGGATGGTCGTGGAACGTTGAATATACCCAGAGAGAATCGACTTCATGTGATCTTTAAGCTATTGCTTGACGATGCCGAGTATCAGACTTGGAAAGCGGCTGCCATCAGCGCGGACAAAGATATTCTGGACAGCGATGAAGCCGACGATGATGGATATGAAGAATATACCGATGAGGATGACGAAGATGATAGAGGGTGGGATGGCCAGTGGACCGTTCCTTTTGAAGAGCCAGATTACGACGACGAAGAAGAGGAAAGCGAAGATGCTAGTCCTCTGAGTCCTGGTTTATATCGTGCACTTTATCCTTTTGTACCAGAAGGTTCGCGGGAAATGCCACTGAAAGAAGACCAGGTCGTACGAGTAGTCGGTCAGGGAGGAGGAGCAGGCTGGGCTGTTGTCGTAGTTGATGGAGTAGATGAGAAAGGGAAACGACGATCGTCGTCGCGACAACTCGCTTTAGTTCCGGAAAGTTATTTGGAACCTATTGCCTTGGACGAAAAAAATTCTTGAATTCTTGGAGGTACAACCCTTTTCCGTTCAGTGTGGCTCAACATACTGACTTCTATAGTGATATGTATTCCAGCTGATGGCCGCCGTTCTGTTCCTATGTCCATTCTTTTTCCCTCATTTCTTTTCATTTTCAGATCTTGCCTATGACTATGCTTATTGTGACTTTCATTGTTCTTGCAATTCTTGATCGTGTATTGCATATATCGCCGTTCATCTATATACCCTTCCGCATTTCTTGTTATCGTGATCTACATCCTATCTATGTAACTTTTACTTTCCATTTTGTACGTTTAAATTGATCATTTGTAGATAGTATGTTGGTTGAGTACACAGCCAGAGGTGGTGCAAAAAAAGATATTCATTAACAAGACCCGGAGGAGGACACAGTAAACATATGTGAAGTCATTAATGTCATAGAGCAAGAAGAATCATCTGCCATATTTCGACCAAAAATCCCAGCCAGCCTGCACCACAGCCACAGCTTGTCCCAACATTCGCAACTGCACTTCAATTTTCATTCTATCGTCGACATCGACCACTCCCCCCACCTCAGCCAAAAGAAAGACACAGTCACAAAGACAAGCAAATTCAAGACCAAGAAAGGCGTACAGCAAAAGAGAAAAAAAAAGTGTACTGAAGAGGGTATCGAGAAAGGTTATACAGCGTCCTGCATTGGATTTTAATACGATGGATTAGATGTGAATAAGGATATACATATATATACAGTGCAAAAAAAGAGGCCTTTGCTCTGAAAACTACAAAAACAGTTCTTGCACGCCGAAACGCGACAACGGAGGGACAAAACAGGAGGGACAAAGCGAAGCGGGAAACTGGGTGGAGAATGACGGTAGACGAAGAGGATAGAAGGGACGAATGTCACGCAAATGATACATCGATAACCTGGACAAAAGAAGTGGGGTGGTGGAATGGGTGGCAAGACATCGGAGTTAAAGAGGGCAGGAGTTAAAGCACTGCAAGTTAACAACATGCACTGCAAGACAAATGGCAGTCATAAAAAAACGTGCTTCAAGAATATGGATATACAAGAAAGGGTGCTGTGTATGTGTTTGTCGCTTTCAGTATGACAATGTCCGCAGAGAACTGGGGTGGATGACAGGTTATGAGGGATACAACGGATATGGGTCATCGTCCCATGAATCTAGTCAAGGAAAGCGTCAGCGAAGAAGTTCAGTGTAGAAGAAGGCGTACGAGGGAAAATGATGATCGCATTATGGGAAAAAAGTCTAGCAGCCTCGCTACCACATCTGGACGACAAGAAAGTATCCTGACGTATCAGAGACACCCGCACAGAAGACACATTTGTTGGGCTCGTATGAACGACCGGACTCCATTTTTTTCAACCGCACGCCTAGACGAAAATCGTTCGCAGGAGCACATCGAATCTAAGAATTTAACACGCCACTCATTGAAACACCGTAAACAAGCATGAGCCCCATGAGCGCGAAGGAGTATACACAAGAGGACGAGCAAGTAGCAGGGACCAGAGTAGAACGAACCTTCCGTAATACTCCTCCATGCCAGATATAGCACACCAACCGCGGCAGTCTCTAGAACGGTAGCGATGAAGGATCCGTCAATTTTGCTTGTCGATCCCTGTTAACAAACACCATCGATCAGTTAAATCAGTTAAGACGATTTATGTGGTCGGTCATCGAATGAGGATGTTTAAAGGGGATCGAAGTGAAGTGGTAAATAGTCTGCATCAGCTGTCCAACACTCATGTACCCTCTAGACAGGCATCGCGGTCTACGCTGATCCAAATCCCAATCATACATAAACTATTTCGTTCCTTGTAATCGCCGCGGCCGAAAAAAGCCGGATACCCGAGCGTTCAATGTGTAGTAAGGGAGGAACAGAGCAATACAGCAAGAGAAGCTCACTTCACAGATGACCTTTCCGAGAAGGAACCAAGCGAGTTGGCTGAGCACAAACAGTCCTGCAGAAAGGATGTAATACCACATTGGCCGTATCTCGTTGAGCACAGCTAAGACGATATAGGTCATGATAGCAAAGTAAAGTATTGCAGCCCTGCAGCCCAAAAAATCAAGACGGTCACAAGGAAATGAAGGTAGTGGTTGATACTGACACTGCTGGCCAAATGCTTGTCAAAACGAACAGCGGAATACTTCGCAACTCGCTTGGGTCGTTTGAAGGTCCTAGCGCCGTCGTGATACCCAGCGCAACATCAAATGCTATGTACGTGGTACCCGCAAAGAAGGCTGCGCAGAAGAGGAGATAGGGCTACGCATGTGTGTGTAAAATGATTCGTCGTTAAGGAAGTTAGGGCCACGTACTACCAATGCCGCTGGTGTTCCATCTTCAATTTTCTGAGTTGCAATGAGTGCATTCATTAGCAAAGCCCAGAAAAAGGCAGCTACGAGTCCTGCGTGTATCGCTGTTAATGCAACCAGTGCGGTCGAACCTTGCTCAAGCAACGAGCCAGTAGTTACCAGTTGGAACGGCAAGGTTAGAAAATAAAGGACGAGGAGATTTCTCAGTTCGACACGACCTACAGAAACGTTATAGTAAAACAGAATCGTAATTGCACTCAAACTTCGCTCACCGACAGCCGCTTTTCTCTTTTGAGACCCAACAATGAGCCCTACAACCACGAGCATGCTCACAGCACACACAACTATATTCGCGATGTTTCCCAAGCTATTTCCTGTTCCCTGATGTGGTCCATCAATTGTTGTCCCAGCTTTGGCAATACCACAAATGGGGTTGATTCCGACTGGTGCTGAATTCGCATCGGCTGAGAGACCGGTCAAGATACTTTTCAGAGATGAATCGGAGGAGAGCTGTCGATAGAAGAGGTTACACCAGGTATACGAAGGTGTGTTTCGACAAAGGGGAGCAAAATCCCCAAATCGTGTCATGGCGAACTAGTAACTTCAGCGAAGAGGAAGCCAATAAAGTCACACAGTAGACTTTCGAGAGGGATTTCACGAAAAATTAGACGATAGCTAGCAGCCAGGAGGAGTAGTACACAGTGTGCTGTTGAGAGCTCGTTGTCCTCGTTGGGAACGATGTTCAACACGTTGAGCAGTGGGAGTGAGAGGGCAAAAGTTGAACGCACGGTTTTGCCGCCTGTGCTGTCAGAATGTACATACTCTATTTAGTGTTAATAAAGCAGTACTAAGCACGGTTCGATGGCGTAGTTGGTTATCGCATCTGTCTTACACACAGAAGGTCCTCGGTTCGAGCCCGGGTCGAGCCAATTCTAATTGATTGATTTATATATTGTTACCTTTTTTGTTTCCAGTTTGAAAAAGCATTCAGAATGACCTGCCAGCAAAGTTTTTACAGAATGTTCAACATGAATCACATATGTGGGTAGGGACGAGATTTAAACGCGATACCCGATTGTCACGATAAGCACTAGAGTAAATGAAACAGGCAAGAGTAACCAAACAAAGTCCCGACGAAGCAATCAAAAAATCCTCAGAAATAGAAGCTAGTAAATGCGGCCAGAAACACATTCGACACTCTCGATTCAAATTCCCGGAGTCGTGAACCCAGGAAGATCTGGCCAATTGCCCAGTTGACCGGGATCACCACCGATACGAATCCACGAGGAATGCGAAGGGGTTCCGGCGTCATCTAAAATGAATAGCTGCCACCATCCAGGAGGAGACACAAACGCGTTGGGTGGAGTGGTGATTGTGCAAGTTGTTCCGGAGCATGAAAATTCAGGGAAGATGGTACGAGCACCCATAGCGTTCCCGTGAGTGCTCGATGTAGCTGTA